GATTGTGGAAATTTATTGTCGAAGAAAACCCCGTGTAACATGTTTATTCGGTTTGAAAAACATTGGATCCCCAATAATTAGTTTTTTAAAAACTGGAAACCATGGTTGTGATGGCCAATCAGGTACTAAAATGATACCCTCTGCTTGGTCATTAATTATCTTTTGTAATACTTTTGGAATAATTACAAATGGTGGAAATGCATAAAAGAACCATTGATTCCAATGAACTGTGAAACTATCCACTTGAATGGATTGGGGATCAGGTTTCCAAGAAATGAATTTGTTGCATTTCTTATTCAAACTTGTTGCGAATAAATCAATTTCCGGTGTGCCTAAGTATTGACACATTAACTTGGAACATTCATCTGTTAGCTCATACTCTGTTTCAATGACCAAACATCTAGATTCTTGGTCTGCTATGAGATTATTTTTTGTATTAATATAAGATGCAAAAACGAATAATCCGTTTTTCTCGCAGTACTGCCAAATGTCTTTTGCTATCGCATTCAATTTTGGAAATCTGACCCCTCCCATTCGGTTTACATAGGCTACTGCAGTTGTGTTATCAATTCGAAGTAATATCTCACAATTCCTCACATCTTTTGTGAATGACTTCAAGGCATTGAGTGCTGCTCTTAGTTCTAACGCATTAATATAATCATGTATTTCCTTGGAATTCCAATACCCATGAGTTTTAATTCCTTCACAAGTTGCTCCCCATGCCCTCAGAGAGGCGTCTGAAAATATTTCCAACTTATAATTTTGATTTTTGATAGTATTATTTGCTTTTTCCAAATTTGTTAGCCACCATTGTATGTCATTTTCAACCACCAATGAAACTTTCATTTTTCTTTCAAATAAATCATTTGTTTTTCTCAGGGCTAATATTTTCTCCCTCTCTAAGGATTTGGTATAAAGCCATCCATATTCTACAGCAGGACAGGCTGCAATCAACATTCCTATCAGCTTAGCGAATTCCCTAATTTTACAAGTGTCCCTATTAATAATCCAGTTTAGCATTGACATAATTTTTTGTTTTTTATCCTCTGGTAATATAAGGGTCATATACCTTGTATCATACACAAAGCCTAAGAATCTACATGTCTTCCTTGGGGTCAATTGACTTTTTTCCCTACTTACAATAAAAGCTAATGATTCCAGAAACTGAATCACTATCTTTGTATGTTTTATACCCTCTTCTTTCGAGGAACTTATTATCAATATATCATCAAGATATATTATACATGTTATCCCCTTAGATCGTAACTCAGCTATCACTGGTTTGAGTAATTTAGTGAATAAAAATGGTGCCGTACTTAAACCGAATGGTACACAAGTGAATTCAAATAAATAATGTTTGTAGGTGAATCTTAAAAATTTTGTATAATTGTTATGTACTGCTATCATGAAATATGCATCTTTCAAATCAACAGAAGAGAGATAACAATTTCGATATATAAGTTTTGTTACTGTTCTGTAATCCTCTAATTTGAAATGTGGCGGATTCAGGTATGTATTGAGCCTTTTCAAATTTAGAATGAATCTATAATCGCCATTTGGTTTAGGTACCAAGAAAAAACGAGACAGAAATTGACCTTTTTTGGGTTCACATTTTTGTATCGCTCCAATATTAAGAAGCATATCAATTTGTCTTTCATATAAATGTTCTTGATTGCCAGGTATTTCAATATTTGGACATATTTTCTGGACAGGTTTATATATGAACGGGATTTTATATCCTGCTACTGTATCTAGAATACTTTTATTCTTAGTTACTCTTGTCCAATTATCATAAGCGCTTGAAAGACGCCCTGCATAACCACTCATCCTCAATATCTGCGCCTGCTCTGATAAGCTCTCTTCTCTACTATTCCTGTCATTCTCTGGGACCTGGAATTCGACTGCCTGGGAACTGGTATTTGATTGGCTTGGTATGATGTTCTCTTCTCCCCCCCTCCTTTTTCAGTTTTACTCGTGGTAACTGGCGCTTGAAGTTTAAATGTTTACTAACAGTATCGTTCACCTTTGCCCTGCCAATATTCAATGCTACTGTAGCTTTCTTCAGTTCTTGCCTTTCTTAAATTTTTTCCTGAAATTTTTCTCCAAAAAGTAATGTATCTGCTGGGCAGTCATCAATAGTTTTCTTCAAAAATGGATTCAGGTGTGTTACTACCATAAATCTTCGGTGAGATGTTATTGAGTGCTGAATGTCACAAAACAATTCTGCAGCATCTACCAGTTTTGCTAGATGCACATTTGTATTTTCTGTTGGACTAGAAAAAAATAAATTTGTAATTGAATGCACTCTTCAACCTTCCCATTCATCATGGCCGGAAGAAAGGTGCAGTTTTTCATGGGAGGGTACTTTTCTAATAATTCTTTCCTGTCTTCTTTGGTTATGCCCTTTGCAACGAATAGGTTCCATCTGTTAGCAATTTCAGTATGAATCTCTTCTCCTAGTACTGTAGGCTCAAGAGGGTTTGTACCCAATATGGCTATTACTTCTTCACTGTTTGTTGGTTCATTTGGTTCAACAATTTCTTCCTCTTCGGACATCTGACTGTCAGAAAGTTCTTCTGAGGAGCTGGTGTCTGATTCTGAACCTGTTACAAGTTCAGATGTTCATTAGTGTATACTTATTTGAATATTTTGTGAGTGCACCGAACATATTTTACCTAATTTGGATCCTTATAGAAATTTAGGCAAAGGTCCATTGTTTTCCATTATTGGAAGAAAAAGAAGAAATTACGTTGCACGATATTCACGATATGGACGCTGTAGCCCAGAAATTCGTGAAATAGAAATCATATTCTTCAATATGTATTCTTATGAACACAGAAATTTGTGAATATGTTTATTTCAATAGTCAAGTGATTCAATAAACAGTTGAACGCCGTTGTAGGTAACACCATCACGAAATTTGTTTTTTGCCCGGATTCCAATTTTTTCTAACCGGCTTAAGTACTTACTTGATAAATCTCTAATTTTCCGTTCCAGTTTTCTTAATTTCTTGTGCAATTTATCCTTCCTATGTCTCTTCCTTTTATTTCCCATGTTTTTTCAAAAGTTTCGTTTGTTTCTTCCTTCATCTCTATTAACACTGTTATAACCGTCTGTACTCATCGATACAACAACGAAAAGTGACGAATATCGAGGGACTGTGGCGTGATGCAGATCAGCGCAGGCAGGGGCGGAGCGAGGTAAAATTGGCTCTACTTTAAACTGTTGTATGAAATCGACTCAACGACGAGACTACAATTTGTGTAATAACGAAGACAGGACTGTGAAGTATAATGTGGACTGAATCTTGTATCGCCACGGGAGAATCAAGGTCAAGAGCCATCTGAAAATTGTAAAAAACAGAAATTATGTTATAATATATAGGTGATTGTGGTTGTGTTATCCTATTCACATGAAAATATGGTCTATATGGACAGTTCTCTTTGTCGTTGGCCGAAATGTTACCAAGCTTTGATAAAGTCTTCATCGCCTTCAGACACTGCATCAGATGAGAATCCTTCTATGGTATTGCCATGAACCTTCGCTTCATCATTTATGAACTGCCATCTTTTAAGCACATTCTCATAGGATAATCTATTACTGCTTCCAAATGACAGATACAGAAGACAGATTCTTTGTCTGCCAATGGTTGAGCCATGAACACACAGGCATTTTTTGAGTATTCTTCTTTCTCGAAAGCATTCTGTATATCATTCACAGAAGTTACTGAAAAATTATTGCTCATACGGAAACTAGTGGAGCTGGACAATGGTCATACGAAACCTACTATGGTATTTGTTCTAGAGTCATACTGGACTCGTTTCGAGATTGCAGTTTGGTCCTCACTTATAAAAACGTTCAGGGGTAATTTACGATCCATCAAAAATTGTTTCATTTCTGCCATATAGAGCTTACCCTCTTCTACCTTTGGAGTGTCTTCTAACTTTCTTTTTACAGTTTTTAAAGAAGGAAATGTATTTTTCAAGTTTGCCTGAAGATTTTCGTACGTGATTTTACCACCAATTATGTACAAATATAAACTGAATAACTTTCGTTAAATCTGTTGTTGTTTTTGCATTTTCCGGAATTTTCTTCTGCAGTTTTCACCAAACATTTCGAAAAGTGATTCATATTCCAAGTGACGTTTTCATCTTGTTCATATGCTGTTTTGTCGCAAAATGACTTCCGTATACCTATTTCCAAGTCATTGTTCTTCTTAAGTAACGTTTCTACTTCCTTTATTACTTCAAAGAAATTTGTAATTTTCAGTTGGCTCATTTCACTGCAATAAAATCTCTTTCAGTGTATCTCCCTTTTACTATACTTCTTATCTTTCCATTTGGATGATTGAGACGAAGGTTGAGGTGGAAGTTGAGGTGGAAGGTGAGGTGGAAGTTCAGGTGGAAGTTCAGGTGAAACTTCCCAGTAAACCAAATAATGTAACAGATATGTTAATTTTATATAATTCGTGATCTTGTTATGTCACATATAACATCACAGCTAACTAACCTGTGACTCACAGCAAAAGTAACAGGTCCGCACTTTTTGCACCTTGATGTCACTGTTATGTTCATTTCAAAATATATTTTTGACATAAAAATTTGATGTCACTGATATATCACAAAATTATATCACTTTTACATTCAGTAGAGAATGTGTGGAGAACCTAGCTGAGTAAATTTTTTATTTTGAAATTCATTTTTTCTATAATAATAACTGATTTGAGTGATTCAGAAGCATATGCCTATGGAAGATGTCAATATTAAACGATTGATGCAACAAAAAACGTCAAGAATGTCAAGAACATATCAATCATTGTTTTTTCCACTTAGGCAATTAGGATATGAAAAAGATAATGAAACATCTTTCAAATAAAAAATTTATTGAGAACAAAACTTGAAAAACGGGAAAAACTCTTCATCATAAACGAAAAATAAAATTTCAACATGTCTCCAATTTGGAAATAATGAAAAAATAAACTTATGAATTATCACATCCACTTATTTTTTCCTGAGGAACCTCTGTTTCGCCAACCTGAACCATTCACTGATATAGGCCTGAACTTCACTTATACTGGTTTTGTGTTGTGATACCATTATATCTGCAAAATAGCTGGAATGTGATTTTGTATCTTTGTTTTGTAGATTCACTCTATTTTCAGGATTTATTTTTTTCTGAAAAAAATATATGTATACTCACCAATGAACAATTTCATTGTATATGTTTCCCCTAATTTGAAGTTTCCCCTTTTGCCCTGAAGTGAACAACTTCTACTTAAATTGTTGGTGTATATTAATCCTAGGCACCTATTCATGTTATCTTTGAGGTCCCTTCCTCCAACAGATTTCATGTAGGATATCTGGAAACAGAATCATTCAAAATATAGGCGATGACAATCATATCAAAACTTACAAAAGAGCGTTTGTTCTCAACATCGGATAAATGGGTATCAAAGGGTTCCAGTTCATCCAATGATTTCAATGGTAACTTCTCCTCCAGATTCTTTAAATAGTTATCTGCTTCTAGCTGTCCATTTTTCGTGTGGAGTGTTTTCATGATTTTATGTAAGGATTTTATGTTTTTCTGCATATCCAAACATATCCGAGTAAGACGCTCTGAAAAAATGATTAATTGTCATGTGCTAGGAAAGATGAATATGTATTTTGGGTACCTATTGAACTGTGCAGATCAACCATATTCCCATCTGCAAAATAATTCATTGAAAAAGGATTATACTGATAAATTCACTGTATTCAACATACCTGCAATAACAATAGGCATATTTTCAATATCTTGAATTTCGTGATCTTGAACTTCAGGAACAATCTTGTTCACTTTTTCTGACACCATTGGAGAGATCATTTCTTTATGGAAAGATTGCAGCATTATGCTCTCTTCAGGTTCATTATTTTTTTCTTTCTCTCTTTCACTCCCCGTTTCTTCTGTATTATATGTCTTCCCTTCAGTTGCTAGATTTTTCTTCTTGGGTTTTTCTGAGGAAAATGGTGGTGGCGTTATGCTCTCTTCAGAGCTGGTACGATTAATATCCATTTTCTTGGCACTCCCAGTATCTTCTGGATATTGATTGCATGACATTGTCTTTCCCCTGGTAGCAGAAGGATTTTTCTTCATGGATTTTTTGACACAGAATGAAGGTCTTCAGAGCTGGAACGCACAATATTCTTTTTTTTCTTCTTCCGCTCCCAGTTTCCTCAAAATCTTCATTTGCTGTAAAATATGAAGGATCCCCTGCCCTCCTCCGAGCGCTTTCCAATGTTGCTAAAAAAATCAGGTATGAATAATCAATTATAAATGAGGAGTTATTTTTTCATCAGAATATCTGAAATTTCCGAGGGGTAAACCACCTTCGGAAATTTTGTACACCAGAATTCCTGGAATCGCACGTAATCCACCCGGAATCCCTCGAAATCCTACTGGAATCCCACAGAATCCCACTGGAATCCCATCGGAATCCCACCGATATCCCACGGAATCCCACTGGAATCCTACGGAATCCCACATGCCTGTACACCATAATTCCAAGGTGGTTCACCCCTCGGAAATTTCCAAATCTTCACAAGCACTGGGATAAATTGATATTTATAACTCTTCATAGCACTGAAAAGATTTGACAAATAAAATATAATATTTCAAATTCATTTTATACAGTAGTAATAGCAGTAAACTCAAATATATACTAGTACAAAACTTACAGCAGAATGTTTCAATTTCTATATCATGCAATTCCCATAATTCCTTGTTTGGGGTTTCCCTCCTGACCATATATGCTTTGGCATTTAGTGACTTTAGCCACCAACACTGAGTTTTATCATCAGTGATCCAATCAACAGGAACTTCCGAATGAATTTTTTCGGAGGGAAGGTATACGACTGCAAATTTGTTGGTATCCATCATTGAGAAAAAAAGAGGCTGAAAAAATTTGTTATTATGACCCTTTTTTAAAACCATGTTTATAAAAATTGTTCAATGATGTGTTTGTTTGATTTTTTTTTCAACAGAATATTGTTAGTTATTAGCATTATTAAAAAATGTGAGAATTTATTGATATCATCCAATCCAAACAATAAGCAATATCTGAGAAATAAAAAATTGGTACAAAGGTATCGAAATATCTAGTCTTCAAAGACACAACATTCTATATACTACCCAGGATTCAAATATGTGTAGCTCACATGTGGATGATGATAAATCAAGTAGAGCAGCAATCACATCAACCTTGATAATTATAACCCTAATTGATGAACTGAAAATATCAGAAAATTATAATGATTCTTGCATCAAAAACAAACAAATAAAAAAATCATGCTGGTGAATAAAGAGATTTGAGTCATACAGAGCTTAGTATTGATTTATTGAATGAAGTAGCAGCATTAGATTACCTTCACAATTTCTAGATAAATGTGATCTTGTTGAAAAAAATAAGAAAGTTGTTTTTTGAACAAAAAAAAGTTATGTTATTATCAAAATAAGTGATTTATGTAGAAGAGCAACAATTACATCCACATCTTCAAGGAAAGGAATTCTGAAGCATTTCTTCACGATGGAGAGCATATTGAAAGAAACATTATCTTCTGATAAATTTCTTTGTTTGACTCCATAAATCCCAATTATTGTTGAGTTACATGGACGTTCCAGAAATTGCTCTGTGTTCAAATAGTATCTACCAGTGCAGATCACATCACTATTAATGAAGTCAAACTTCTCAATCAGAACAATTTGATCATTCTCAAGCAACACACAATTATCATTCTGTTTCAAAGACAAAGACAAGTTTTGTGTTTGAACTTTTCTTATTTTTCCATTCCTTCTAGTGATAAGTGGATAATTAACAGGTTCAATTATTTTATGAACATTCGTTTCTTCAATAATTCTATTATTTATCTGCTGCAGTGGATAACGGGAAGTTTTGTGTAAGTTTTTGAGTTTGAACATATAATTTTCATACTTGAAGGCACTGAATGAATCAAGGTTTCCATGAATTCTAACATCCTGGGATAAATTAATTAAATTATGAATGTTGTATGTACAGTATTCATAGCCAAAAATTAATCCAAACTTCTCGAAATAATATACTAACAATTGGTTAGCATAATCTATGTTTTCAATACTCTGATTTTTCTGAGAGAGTAATCTTATGCCTACAACCAGAGATAAAAAATGATTATATCTTCTCTTATCTAAAATATTTTTCAGTACAACAGGACCAATATATAGCAGGAATAAGCGAAATTCACTTGCTTTCCACCTTTCAATATCTGTAATTGATCTTGGCCTCCTTTCAAAATTTGAGGGAACATATTGGTTTGTTGAGAGATACATTTCATTCAAACAATCAATTTTATCTTTTTTCAAACGAACTGAAATGTTTCCTTTGATCCAAAAAGAGAGGACACGTTTGGTAATTCCTAATAATACTAAATGCATGTAATCTATGGGTAACTAAAATAGTTGGCCCCCTATGATGTTCTGGATTCTCCCTATTTCTGAATGAATCATTTGTTCGGAGTGTTGAATTTGTGGATAGGAATACCATTCTCCTTTCTATGTAATCTCCTTCACAAATACACTTTGTGCATCCGAAATAACCAGTGTGATTTTTAATATTACTTATAAAAGATTTAGCAGGTGCATCACATATAATACATCCAAGTTCAATATGATATACTTTGTTTCCAATTGTCAGCCCATTAATCTCTATAGTCTTAAATTCATTTACAAAAAAAACTGAAGAATTCTGGTTTTCCATTACTATGAAAAAGCCCAATTAAGAAAGGCTCTGTTATCAAATTGTCTACAACAAGATCTCCCAATATAGGCCAAAACTGACTGCCTGATGATTTTGATATTGGTAAACCATCAACATTTATATTTAGTTTCAGGTTATCTCCAATTTCAATCTGAGAGTTAGTATAATTTTCAATATGCTTTTGTAGGTTATCAACTAAACCAAAATGAATATATTTTCCACCACTTATTGTATGAATATTATTACAGCACCTGAGAGTTTTCATGAAAGTCCTTGCATTCCGTGGTAATTCATTATACCCATGCTCTTAGAATAGCCAGAAAATCATTTATGGCTCTCTGGGACAAATGGTGATTCTGAAAACAATCTCTCAAATCATCACCCGAAGTGTTTTCACTTGAATTTCAGTTAAAGCTAACAGAATTATCAGATGAACTAAATATTTGTAGGTCAATCACTAATCCATCACTATCTGCTTCCTCACACATCGAACTGGATGATGGAAATGATGTAACAGGTTCAATATTAGGGAGTTCGTTGAATTGTCTTTTAGGTTGCACAATTTGATCAGAGTCATTGAGAATTATAACCGTTCTTCGTGATTTATCTACATCTTTTCTCAGAATACGACGTTTCTGTCGATCTGACAAATCCGAAAAATCACGGGGCATTTTCCAGTGATAGGTTCTCGAATAGAAAACGAAAAGTTTTGGTACACCAACTGATATCAATATTAAAACAAATTGCGAACTATAACCATACAACATTCGCCACTTGTTATCAACACACCGCCACGCATCAATCACTTTCACTTTCGAACTCCTTTCATGATATGATAAGCAGCCAATGATTAAATGAATGATTATACGTACTTGTTTATTGTGGATTGTCGCGAATTCTTCCAAAATAGAAATAAATATATAATAGAAATAAACCATAAACAGTCGAACTTCGCCAGAGCCAGAACATTCACCAATGACAAATGACATTTGACAAGACACAACACCAAGTATCAATCATGTGCCAATACCACACCAACAAAACAAGTAATAACGAATGCAGTTCTGCCAACCACGTGTGACAAGTAGTGTGACAAGTGAATGTTTCCATGACATTCATGTAATGTAAAGAATTTATGTAAATCTTGTTACTATCAGATGATTTGGCAGAAAATACGAAGTTGAACATTTTACATTTCGGTGACATCCCTGATCTATCACATATTTATGTAACATATTTATCCCAAGATATGTTAAGGTAACATTGTGTTTACTGCGTTGAGGTGGAAGTTGAGGCTCTTGTCCTGATGCAAAAATACTTGCCTCCTTTGTACTTCTGCTTCCACCAAGAAACATAGTATTCAGGTTGTTTTGATCATCACTGTAAAACACATCTTTAAGACCTTGACATAAATTATTATTTTCGGAACTACAATTATTATGACTCAATTAGCAACAAAATGCAATTGTCTCAAAATATTCCCTTATGATTTGTGGCTTATTGCTTATAATACATTTGTGTGAATAATAATTATATTAATTCACACTAGAGGACATTTGAATCGGGGAACGTGACAACTCCGCGCACGACTTGTGGGCGTGGTCTTGTCAGTTCTCAGCATTCAGCACAATGTTGCCAAGTCTCCAACATTCACATGATATTTTGTATGGAGAATAAGAAATATTCGGACATTGGCTGGTTGCAAAAACTAATTCAGGTTTCTAACGACACAGTGGAGTAATTGAAATAAATTATTTTATGGAACCGGCAAACATGTTTTTTTTCTCCAACTGTATTGCACAAATATTTTTATTTTAGAATGTAATCAATTTGAGGGCTATTACAGGTTACATAACAAGAATTAAAATCTCAAACTATTAAATACTGATAATGATGGAAGTAAGATATGGTGCGCGTATTCGGCCATTATTACGTATTGAAAATTTCAGAAAAATCACTCGACCGCCTACTATGATTTCTCTATGTCACAACGAGCGAGACGTTGATTCTACATTTTTCCGCTAGATGGTGATATGCTGCGATTGCTGCTGTGACGAGTGGAGATAAAATGGCAAATGGCATTTTCGGTACGCGGAACATATGTAACAGTGGGATTATTCAACTCTGAATTCGAAAAATTTGCGACAATTTCAAAACTGATAGATGCCATAATTGTGTAATGTCGCCATCTATTAGCAGATCGACGGAACCATTGCTCTCGCTGTTCTCAAGAGGTCTAGTAAAATTTCTGAAACAAAAGCGCATCAGTAATTACACCATATCGTACTTCCATCATTATAATGATCAATGGTTTTGATTTTTACGAAAT